ATATATATATATATATATATATATATATGGCGAAGTCAAGAACATGGCTCGATGGCAATTAGGATTTTACCGCGCTGATTTCAACTCCGCTAATGGGACAATTCCTCTACGACTTGTTCATCAATAGTGCATTTGCACTGGCGTATGCCAACGAGTCAAAACTACAATCTGGCAGTTAATACCAAGCGTTGCGAAGTATGGGGTTGCTTCCGAGTGCCACCGTCTGTCTACGACAGACTGTCTACGACAAATAGGGCCAAGGTGAATTTGTTTTTAAGTCTGTTCGCTTCTGCGTGGGAAAGGCAAATTTATGTATTTAACGCCTCTGCTTCTGATCTGGATGGTGTTTTATGAAATCCTCACTGTTTTTTTTTTTTTTTTCAGGAATCATAAGGTATATGATTGAGCAGTCTGATCCGGCGTTGAAACAACTGAATACACTCAAAGAAGTGCAACGTTTCATGCAAAAAAGTGACATCACAATTGTTGGCTTTTTCAGTGATAAAAATGCCGTTTTGCTGGATAGTCTAAGTGAGGCTGGTAAGTGGTATGGATCAAATTAAATTCTGCGGATTGTTTAATTGATGAACGATTCTAGATAGTGAATTTGATGAACAATTCTAAATAACGAACGAAGCATTTTTTTTTTCTTGCCAACTGCACTGTAATTTTGGCTTTTCAGGAGTGTTTTAGGTTTTGATTCAGTGAAGTTTTTACCAGTTTTGTTTGAAAGAAAAGTTTTCAGTCTTTTAGGTTTTTTACTCTTTGATCTGATACTTCCATTTTTGCAGCACCTGTGAGATTCTTTTATATAGGTTTATAAAATTAAACTGAAAATCCCATTTTCTTTTGCTGCTGCGATAGTAGCAGTGGTATTAGCTTTTTCCAGTCAGTAACCTAAAGTACGAAAGTAATGAAATTATCTATTTCAAAATAAAAACAATCTGTATGAAAAGCAGAAGTTGCGCTTTTTTTGTTGCAGCTGAAATGACACGAGGTGATTTTGCCA